ATTCCTTGAACATTTGAATTTCTTCCACTCTTTTTTTCCTTCCCTTCAAGTGAAATTATCTGGCTTTAGAACTTTTAGAGTCCCATTAAGGGGGGAAAAAAAAAAAACATCTATTGACCTAGTCTTCTTTCTTTCCTATAGTCTCAATTCTAGCTGAGACAGAAGATATCAAGGCCATTTTGAAGGACAATGGAATCGATGTGGAGACCATTGCTGAGGTATACCCCATCAGAGTACAACCAGCTCGTATTCTCAGCCACATTTATTCTAGCCTAGGTAAGGAGATTGGTCAACCTGCTGGAATGAAAACATTATTTAATACAGACTGGTTTCTTCCCCCCACCCCTTGGTCTTGGATTGCTTTATTAAACTAGATCTCAGAAGGAATTTAAAGTCTCTGGAATCCAGGCTTCCAGGCCTATGTATCCTGGGCAGGCTTGTTAGTTTTAGGTGTGCTGTGTACCCTTTAGTACATAGGGCATGGCTGTTATCAGACTATATTGCATTTTCATTCCAAGTGTGTGCTTAACTAACATGTTCCCCTTTTATTGCGAGAATCTGACTGCATCACATCAGTCCTCTTCAACAAACAGAAACAAACTCTTTATTGCTTACTGTTTTAAAGCTTAGATTCTTTTTTTGGACAGCCTATTAAGTTCTTAAGGAGCTCTGGTGGTATAGTGGATAAGGCATTTGGCTGCTAACTAAAAGGTCAGCAGTTCAAACCCACCAGCTTCTCTGCAGAAGGAAGATGGGGCATTCTATTTCCATAAAGGTTTATAGCCTCGGAAACCCAGTGGGGGTTGCTATGAGTCAGAATCAGTTCAATGGTGGTGAATATTAAGTTCTTATTTCCTAGCAAAGGAAATTAGGACCGATGGGTCTGGAGCTTAATGAATGATCTGTTTTGGGAACTCAAGTAACAAACTACTTTTATTTTCCTGATATGATCTTTCATTTGCTTTATTCATTCATTCATAAGCATTTATTGCTCACTTATTACTCACCTAGACACTGGACTAGATGTTGCAGAATAAATAGACATGTAATGAAATAATTACATTGCAGTCTTATAAATGTTATAGCAATGGTGTTATTTGAAAAATATAGTGGAAACGCAAAGGTGAAAGAGCTTTTCCTGGAGAAGTCAAGGAAGTCATGATAGATGAGGCAAACTTGATGACTTATCAGTCAAGTGAGTGACCCTTCAGAGTTCTATTATTGTATCAGTTTCACAGTAACAAAATTGCTTTAAGCATACATCAAATGCAGCCATAATTCCACTAAGGAAAAAGAAATATGTCCTCACCAGGTTATTCATTTACATGTGCTAATTAAATAAGACTCTTTGGCTCCCTTCAACCATCAAGAATTTCATGTCTCTCAGTTT